GAAGGAGCTAAGTGTCGAGTTTGCAGCTGCCTGACAGCAACTGCTGGAATTTTAATGCAACAAATAAAAGAGCTGAGATTTGATGACTCTCTGACTAGAGGAGGCTGATGATTTTGGAAAGAGGTGGGGGTGTCATATGGATTTGTAGGTGTTAAAGTTCCACGCTGTGGCAGGCGGGGTGAGGTGTAGATGATCACTTCCTGTTGATTTATCTTGGACAAGAAATCTTGTTGGATGGCCCAAGGAGGGGGTCACTCTCTGGAATGTTATGATATGGGAAGAACTTGAGAGGTCAGGAGATCTCATTCCTTCACAAGCTCTTCAATCTACTCTGAAATCAGCAGAGAATGGAGGAAATTCAATCTGTGTTTGGCCAAGTAGGCATTCCTCAGCCCCGAAGGCAAGGGCCTACGACAAACACGGAGAAACCCCGTAGTATCTGATGAGTAGCGGTAGTTGCTTACAATGCATTTTTTAATTTCCTAATCTTCTTTCCATATATATTATCACACCTGTCCCTTTTTTCAAAATGGTTTCTGTTTTCTATCAATTCTTTTTTTTTTTTTTTTTTATTGCGATATCAGTTGCCTCCACCACCTTTCTCTAAGGCAGTGATTTTCAGCTGGTGTGCCAGGAGAGGATCTTAGATGTGCCGTGAAAAATTTTAAAGATCATTAATTAATTTTCAAAAGAAGTTCAAAGCACAGTAAGTATATGCTTTTTTAAATTCTTTTTTTTCTTTGATCAACATAATTTAAGTGCGCCACAGAAGTTTAACGATGGGTTTAAGTGTGCTGTGAGATTTAAAAAAAGGTTAAAAAAACACTGCTCTGAGGAAACTTGTCTTTGGCTAAAACAAAATATTCCTGTATCTCTCATTGAGTGAAAATCATAAATGCTTCTCATCCCCTTTTAAACTGCACACAATTACCAGAGGAGTCAAAGAGCAATTATAAAGTAAATTCTGAGCACCAGTTCTCTTTACTTCTTTACCCTCTCAAGAAATATTTGTTTTCCTCCCCACGTACACACTGCTTTTTTTTTCTCTAGTTAGAAATCCTTGCTGAGTTTGTCGTCCGAGTTAGTGGACACCTGCTGTTTTCACTCGCCCAGAACTCTTCCTTTGTTCTTTAGCACACATCAATTTTCCTTTGGGGAATTATCTGACTCCCACCTAGTGGGCTGTAAATTACGTGCTCCACCTCCATCGTCACACAGGTGGGCGTGTAATGCCAGGCTGTCTGTGTACAGCCTGGCTGGTAGGAGGTGACCATCCTCTGGGCCATACTGGCAGGGTCAGTAGTGGACAAGTGACACAAAGAGAACTGACTTCTTGGAGGTCTGATATTACACTTTTTTGGGGGTTTTATTTGTAATTATAGACATAGGGTTTTTAAAAACAAGTAGTTGTTAGGGCTGGTCTTTGCTGATATGTAGAGAATTAAGAATGTAATCAAGGGAAGAAAAAAGAGCCAAAGGGAGGGGGAGATACTGATTTTCATGAGGGAGATTTTTATGAATAGAAGTTGTGACTTTTGCATGAAGAAAGTTCTGGTAATGCCAATATAGTAGCGGGTGGAATTGGGTAGAGGACTGTGACATTACTTCATGGTCTTGATGAGGGCTGGGGGATCATATTTAATCAAACTAGATTAAAGAGCAATTCTGGAATCTCCAATTAAATAATTACATTGAGAGAACAATTTCTTTTTCTACTTAAATACAACACATATTCACAAAGTTACACTTGGAATTCACAAAAGGACATTTTCTTCTAATTCCCTGGCTTTGCATTGGAGAATCAAAGGTACCTCAATCAAGACAAACAGTTTGTTAGGAACACAGCTATCTGTGTTCTTAAATAATCTTCCTCTGGTTGTCATAAAGCTGTGTAAGAACATGATGTAGAATATCAGGCAGTGTTACTTTTCAGAAGGGAAAATCATACTTGAGAGGTGGTACAGAATTAAAATTAACATGGGCATCTGAGAAATTTGGCTAACTCAACAATTTAATTAATACATGAACATTCAGCTTCTAACAGACATATTCTTAACCTTTTAAAGTTAATGTCCTGTGTACTACCTTCGTAAATTTCTTTTTATGTCGTAATTTTGATTGAATGGGTTATTTACCATGGCCTTATACTCTGAACAAATGGAAGTGACTCTTTGTCCATACCCTCCTCCAGTTCAATCAAATAACGCTAGTAAAATAAGTTAGGGCAGGAGTATTGATTTTATTTTTTATAGATTTGATGGGTGGATATTTTTCAAGTTGTCATCCGGAAAATTTTCTAGCATTAAATGGTGACCTAGCCTACTGCTGGTAGGCTTCAGGTAGTAATCATCCCTAACATTAGATGATCTTGCAGGAGGGATTTCTGCACTGGTGTGGGTTTTGGGTAAAATGACATTTCAGAGCTATTCTGGAACCAAATAGTGTAATAGTGGTTATACTAATACTACTTATACATTTTATTATTAATAGTAATTCTTATCATTTGGAAAGTGTC